TTTAGACTGCATTGCTACCGTTTTTATTCCTTTGTTTTTTTCCCTTCCAATTTTTTCTTTTGTTCTGGCGTTGTTTGTTTGTCTGTTTATTTGCGTGCCAGCTTTGTTACTTGCTTGGTTGCTTGCCAGTGTGCTTGACGTTTTGTTTTTCCTCGTACATCAGACAAACGTACGTGCACACCGACTGCCTGTCGACGTATTGAGACGACATAGTAACTGACTTGGGGCGTTGCAGTGGTTTGACAGACTGGCCCATTCGTTCGGTGAATTTGTCAGTTAGATTTTGTACAATTTTATGCGGTATTTTGCGTTTGCCTTCGCTGGAATATGCACAACAAGTACTAACATAAGCTTAATGCTTCTGCATGTATATGTATGTCCGTTTGTGTATTGTGTGTCGATGTTGTGTTCATAGGTCGTAGCCACTGGCTGTGTGCAGCCTTACCGCTGTTACCCTTTGTCGCAAACACAACACACGACAATGTTTATGTCGGTTTGTTGGTCGCTGGGCGAGGCACGGTGGTTGTATAAAAATGGTTGAATGGTTGCTTGTTATTTGGCTTGAATTGACTTGCACTATTATGGAATGGGATGGACTGATTTGAAGTGTAGTGAAGCAAAGTAAAGCAGTGGTAAAAAAAATAAGAAAAAATACTGAAATACATTAAATCCAGTGTTTTAGGGTTACGTAGTCAAAACTGGTATTTAAATACCAATATTATAGATATTAATATTTTATGTTTGTTTTCAATGGCTTAAGAGAATTCTTTTCGAGGTGTAAAGTGGCTAACAAATTTCTATAAATTAAGATACGTGTGCATTATATTTAAGTGTTTTAGCTATAACGGAATAGATGCTCCATTATATTTTCATAGTTAAGAATCAGCGTAAACACCAAAATTGGCGTCAGCCTAAAGGCTCAACAAAGATTCACTTTTGTCAACAGATGTTACTTCGTTTTAAGTAGGCAATCGCAAAATACACTCGTCTCTGGACAAACAAAAATCACGCTATACAAGTCTTTTAACATACCTGTTTTGCTGTATAGTAAACAATTACCAACAATGATGTGTAGGTGTTAGTAGCATTCCAGAGAAATATTCTGAAAATTTATGGTCCCTCATGCGTTGGCAAAGAGTATCGGACTAGATGGAATAATTAGCTGTATGAACTATACCATAATTTTGACATCGATATTTTATTTAGAAAGATTGGACCGTTCTGCCAATCCGTAACACCAAAGCAACTTGAAAATAAAACACAGTTCATATTTATTATTTCCAGGATCCGTCATTTTGAATCACAGTTTTATACGTATACTACATTCCAATAGTGAATTGGTTTTATGTTACAATATCATGTATACTTTAATCTATATTTGTTATCTATACAGTTTTAGTGTTGATGCAGAGTTATACAAATAAATTATTTTTATAACTTAAGAGAAAATATAGACACACTAGCAAAGGAATTACTTATAGTTAGAAAAATATGCTATATTTGATCATTTAAGGAGTTATTAATTTTTTCCAGTAGCATGTTGGTAGTTGTGTAGCAATAATTTACAGTTTCTGTAAAAAAAATTTAAAAAAAAATTTCGGTAAAACATCACAATTATTAAATAATGGTCTGTCTATACATATTTAGAAGAAAGCTCCAACGGAATATTCCAATATGGTAACTACGTGTGTAATTTCGAATTTAAACTAATAAAATTAAATTCAAAATCAAAAAATCAAAAAAAAAAAACAAATGGTTTGAAAATAATTAAAAAAAAAACAAATTTTTAAATACATATATGTTATATTATTAAAAAAACAACTCAGAGCAACGAAATTTAGGATATCGGATTTAATTTTATAATTTATTACGTATTAAATACTTTAAATATTTTTATTAATTTAATTTTTATAACATTAATGCTAAATTATTAAAAAATTTTGGTGGGCCTTAGAAATTAGAAATACAATGTTAATTGTTAAAAATTATAAGAATGACAGTCAAAATCTTAATTTATTAAAAAATAGACAAAATTAAAATTATATTTTTATTTAAGAATTTGTTGTAAAATCTATAAAAATTTATTTATAGTTAAAATTATTAGAACATTAAAGCAATCAAATAATCAATGCTTAATTTAATTAATTAATATCTGCAAAAACAATAAATAATTATTAATGATTAATTATTATTATTATTAGTATTAAATTATATTTTTATTTAAGAGTTTGTTGTAAAACCTATAAAAATTTACTTATAATTAAAATTATTAGATCATTAAAGCAATTAAATAATGAATACTTAATTTAATGAATTAATATCTACAAAAATTTGAAAATAATTAAAATGAATATACCATTTAAACAGTCACATAATTAATACTTAATTTAAATAATTAATGTCTACAAAAATTTATAAATTATTAAATTCAGTGGACTATTAAAATTATTAAATAACTAATTCTTAATTTAATTAATTATTGTCTTCAAAAAAATATGTATAAATAATTAATAACAGTAGACCATTGAAATAATTAAATAATTAATGTTTAATTTTGAATTTTTTGTGACATTTAGTTTTATGTTTGTTTTGCAATTCGTTTTTTAGTTTTGCAGTTACTTAAGTTTTAAAAGTGTAAATACTTTAATTGTGCAATTAACAGTAATTGCTATCTGCTAATTGTGAAGTCTAAATATTGTATAATTTTGTAATGTAAGCAATTGAAATATATGGTATGTATATGTATGTATTTGTAAAAATGGAACCCTATTTTATTTGCACGAACGAAGGGCATTGATTTTTCTTAACTTATTTTCCATGGTTTGTTTTATATTTTCGGTTTGGCGTTAGCTTTTTAGATAATTTATACAAAGGTGTGAGTAGGTGTGGGAAGTAAAACGTACGTGTGACATAAGCACAATGCACAACTTGTGCACACATTGGGAATTCCACCCTGACACCAAGAGCATAACAAGCACTCGTACGCGCTGTTATTGCATACTGTTGTTGCTGTTGAGCCGTGATATGATAACTACGAAAAGTGCCGTGCCGTGCCGTGTCGAGTCAAGTCGCATCGACTCGAGCCGTGTTGTGCTAAGTTGAGCTGAGCTGAGTTGAGTTAAGTTGAGCTGTGTCACGGCATGGCAAGTGGCATGTGGCAAGGCATTATGTTATGTTAAATTTTGTGTGTCTGTTATACTGAATTGCTGTCAGTCAGTTTGGCGTTATGTTTGTCAATTTGTTCATACGTTCAACTGACTGTTGTATCGTATAACTGAGTTTACCTGTTCACATTCAAATGTGCATTCACATCTATGCATGTGTGTGTGTGTATGTGTGTGGGCTTACGTTTATAAATTTGTTGCGCTCTAAACGTCTTTTTGCACACACTCGCACACACACTCACACACATATGTAAATGAAAGCTCATATGTCCATATGACTCAGTATGACTGACTTGTTCTAAGTTGGTCGGTATGTTCGGTTGGTAGATTGTCGTTGCAACTGTTCGTCTGCTTGCTGATTTGTTTGCTTGTCTATTTGTAACATTCAATACGTTTCAATTTTTTTTCCTTTTTTCCTTTTTTTGGTTTTTTGAATTTATTTTTGCTTCTGTTGCTGTTGCTGCTGATTTTACTGTTTCTGCTTCTGGTGGCTTTTTTCTGTTCACCGCACAAAGTACTTTGTGTTTTGAATTGGATTGTTTGGACTTTACTGCTGGTAGCCTTTTATACTTCTTTTTACTCTGCTCTGCTATGCAATGTTTTGTTTTTGTTTTTGTTTTAGTTTTCGCGCAAAGCCAGACATCGTCAGTCGAAACGGTCGTGACAATCCAACCGACCCATATGTTTGTTGTTGTTCATACATTTGTACTGCGCGCTGTTGTTGTTATTGCCTTTATTGCAAGCTTACACTTGGCTTGCCTTACCATGCCTAGCTTTACTTTGCCTCTTTGCGTCGTCGTACTCATCATCATCAACATCGGCATCGTCGTCATCGTCGTCGCCGTTGTCGTTGCCGTCGTTTTCCTCGTTTTCGTCGTTTTCGTTTTCGTCGTTACCATCGCAGCCATAGTAGAAGTAGTAGTAGTAGTCGACATACAGCAGAAAACACAGAACATCACAGCACAGCACAGCACAGCACAGTACAGAACAGCAAAATATAGCATAGCACACACAGTACAGCAGTACAGCAAAGCACAACGCAACACAATGCAACATACATACATATCACACAGAGTCAGTCAGGATATTTAGAAGAACAGCACAGAACACCAAGGATATGATTCAGTAGTGATTTAAATTCTGTTAGTTCGTTGTGCGACTTCTTGGTGTTTGGATGTTTTTGCTGGTTGCGCTCCACTACTGGCTATTATATTTCTTTGACAGCACTAAACACCATAGCACACGGCGGAAAAATAAAGAACCGATCAGAACGGTTGATTGGTGTTTTTAAGTTTCGTACCATTCATACGATTCGTACTTTCGTAGTTAGTTGTAATCAGCGTAAACGTGCGTGTAGCTGTCTGTGCCTGTATTATACCTCCGCCGTTGTCTAAGCTGTTACTGCGGCTGACACTGTGGCTGTGGCTGTGACTGTGAACGCGAATGCTACTTTGAAGGCGACTATTGTGCCACTTGTGCGTGTCATATGCGGTGTTTTATTTTGTTTTGTGTGTTGTAAATATTTCGTAAAAGCGTTGGCGGATGTAATTTATTTGGCAATTGCTGCAACTTGTCGTGTCATCATTATTTTGTTGCCTACCCATTAACATACTCAAACACAACAATCAACAAACAAATAAATTTAAAAAAACAAAAAAAAAATATTTTAAAAACAACAACAATAACAATAATAACAATAAAGGCAACAAACGTGCAATAAACACTTGTTTGAAGTTCAAAAAAAAAAAACAGTGTTTTAAAGATTTTACAAATTTAAACTATTTTAAAAATATTTTTGTTATATAGTAATAAATAATTCCTAACAGTAATTTGTGTTTAATTTGGTGACAAATTTGGAATTTGTTAAAATGACAAAATGACAGCAAAACGTGATAAGGATTATGCCAAGAATAAGACATCAACTGGTAATTATCACACTTAATACTATGTTTACACTTACATTTATTGCTGTACATTTATTTAGTTAATTGTGAAAGGATAAACATATTGCAATAATTATTTGGTTTTTACATAAAATAAATCCTCAGATTTTGTTTTTAAAAAACTTGTAAGATTGCCTTTCTTAACAATAATTAATCCAAAAATTACCGATAATGCATATTAGGAATTTCATTAAATAAGAAATTTTTAATTACTTTATTGTTGTTTTTTTCACGTACCTGACAATAAATTTATTTCTGAGAAACCGATATTCGGACAGAATATTCGGACAGACAGAATATCTAAGCCCATACAAAAAACTTCTTTATATCAAGAGATAATATAAAATAGTCCTTATAAAAGTCTACTACTTTAAATGTCAACCTAACCACTGCGGCCATTTTGCAAATCGATCTGGTCTGCGTATGAGCAACATTAATCCGTGGTATTACAACAGGCCAAATAATGAGTTTGAGTGAGCTTTGGACACAAGGCCGCCACGCATACCTAGCTAAATTTATGCACTCCAAAGGATAGTGATAGGTATTGAATAATACCAGCACGTACCAGAATTTTATCAGGATCTTTACTTAAAGATCTTTATTCAAGATAAAAATATGAAAAAAATTTGAAATCAATCAAAAAAAAATTTAAATTTTAGTTATTTATCTACCATAAAGCGTATTTAATATTGGAAGACAGTACTGATATTCAAAATATCAAGAAATTAAAAATCTTATTTAAAAAGGAAACCAAAATTGTTTGTTAATATAGGTGGAAAGCAATTGAGGCTCTTGAGACCAAACTTTTTTACTGAAGTCTGAGTCTGGCGAGACTATCACAGTGACACAGAATGTGTGCTGCTGTTTTCTTTTCTTTGTGACAAAATCTGCAACCTAGATTCGATAGATGTTTTTCGATTCCACAATGTCCAGTGAGAAACTCTGTAACAAATCGGAAGCCATTTCTGTTCAGTATTAGAAGCGCCTTAGTTCTGACTTTTAATCGATTCGAAATGAATTACCATATTTAGCTTGTCTGCAGGCAATTACATTATCTCAATCAGTCTGCGCTGCTCTTTTCAGCCATTGTTAATTTTAAGTTTCAAAAAGCTCCATGAAGGACCGCAAAAAATTTGTAAATACATAATTTTATTTTCCTTCCTTGATTTATATATATGGATTAGAACTTAAAAGTTACGAGGATATAAAAAAATCTGAGTAAAACAAAATATAGATGGCTTGTTCTTGCAAAATGTTATAAGTTTTGATTCAGTCTTAATCTAAACAATTAGAAAAATTGTCATATCCTAATGACAGCATATTACATCCATTAACACCATATTAAAAAAAATTCATTACATAGGTACAAACTGCTAGACTGTTCTAAGAACCATATGTTAAATATCCCTATTACGGATTGGGAAACAAATCCGACAAAGTGTTGTCACATATAATATCTTCAATATCACTACTGGTGATATCGGACAAACACTTGAGAAAGGGAGACTCTAGAGTAAATAAACTCTAAGCAATGTCAAGTGATAAGCAGTCTAAAAGTTAATTAGTGAAATTTAGTTTCTCATTTCTTTCGACCCCTAAGTAGTCAATATGCCTGTCTATTTTTTTACAATAACACAATAGCACAAAATAGTAACTTCCCAGTGGCTAAATATATTTATTCAATATGGTATAGGAAAAACTTACTTTGTTAAGAATTTTACAATTATGATAGGGAGAACCCAATACAATGTTATCAACTCAACTGTATATATGTGTTATAAAATAATACAAGACTTCTTGGCACAACAATCCGAAATACAAATGTACAGTTAAAAGCAAAGAACCCACCGAAAAATGGTTTTAAAATTGAGATTATCTCTAAAAAGAGTTATGTGACTGTGTCGGTTTGAATCGAAATATAACAGAGTTTATAGATAGAACTTTAAGATAATTTATAATAATTATTTTTTAGATACGTAACAGCAATGTGTATATGTGTAATAATTGGGCTAGTTATGAAAATTATATTTCTTAATGGTTTTTATTATTTTTCTTTTTTGTCTGGATCAAATATCTTTTGAGCAACCTTTTATTCAAATCAATAGAATTAGGGGAAAAAAATAAAAATTGCAGCTGATTTAATTTTTTTTAAATCTTCGTGGTTTTAAATCCCAATTCTCATATAATTTATTTAATTTAATTGTACATCAAGTTCTTCTAAATCCTTAAAACAATATGTTTGTTTATGTACTATATAGCTGTCTGCCTTAAAATTTTTGTACATTCAAGCAGATAAAACTAGCAAATCGGTAAAATTAGTTTTTAGAAATGAGAAGGGCTTGAATTTAACTTAAAAACATTGATAATCAAGAATGACTATCAAAATATTACACAGATCCTGGTTCAGGAGCCACAATGGATATATATACGTTGAATTTACCAATTGTTTTTTGTTCTAACAAATTGAACCTTAGACTAATAATAACTAAACACTCCTATTAGACCTGGTAGCAGTTAAAGTCAAAAATACATGTCATAAATCAGCGGCTCGTTTATGTAACTTTCTCGAACGATTTTTATCACTTTTGACAAACACTTCGAGTAACTAAATGTCAAAAATGATAAAAATCGTTTGAGAAAACGAAGTGACAAAGTTACATATACGGGCCGCAGGTATTGTTATCTTAATCACGACTAAAATCAGACAATTTCATTAGCAGTAAAAGTAAATTATACAAAATGTATAATAATATATAAGTCTCTTGAGCTATTTTCCATTATTGATGTTGCATCTAATGGATAATATCAGTAAGTATGTACTGGAGACATAAAAGCTCTGGTTATCTAACATTCATCAACTTATGTGTACAAGTTTTTAAACTAAGTACATGACAAATTGAGGATTAAATTCCAGTTATAAAATATCATCCATCAACTAGAAGTATAGAAATAGTATAATTGAAGACGAAATCGACGACCTAGTATCCCTCGACATTTTTCTGTGAGTTCTTAAATTTGCTGAAAATAACAGGCAATTTGAGCATTATAAAGTCTTGTGTAACTGTAAGTGCTTAAGCTTATCCACTGAAACTCGCAGTTTTTTTAAGAAATTATTTATCTCAAAAATAAAAACTTCTTACTACTTGCTAAAAAATGATTACCTCCATCACATTTTTTAATTCCTACATAATGAAAAATAAGAAATTAATAGAAACCTTATAACCATTAAATCATCTCTTATTTCTGAAACTAACTATTACACCTCAAGAAATGACTATAATAACTATGCGATTCTATCAATATAAGAAATAAAGAGCGACAGCCTCTTAAAGGTAAGAAATTAGAGTGATAGAAAGAAAACTTCAACAATTTGTATTTATTTCTAGTAGTATTATTTTTATTTATTTGTTTAATTTTCACCATACAATTGAAGTAAGTAAAATCACAGCAATAAACTGCTGAAATAATAGATAATAATATAATAATAATTTAGTAAAGAAGGCTCTGATCGCCTTATATTGAGCTAAAGATATGAGCTTATCTGTTCTAAATGCTGCAGCCATCTTAGACATCAATTATTAGTGTAATACTAGAAAATAGAAAGACAATAGAAAATTCTTTAAAATATTATTCTTGAAACAGTCTATTGTTTTCTACTGATTTTTTATAATATACATTTAAAATGAAAAACCATCAATGCTGCCACTATTTAATAACATACCATATCAATTCACAACCAAAAAATCCGCTTATTTCCTATGCCTTCTAGCAAACACTTTCGGTGAGCTATAACTTATATATCTACTATATAGTCAATTTTTTTGTTAAATTCAATTCATATAGCTAGCCAAAATGCCCCTAGATGTTGGTTATGAGTTCAATATTTTTTTACTTTTCATTTTTGCAATATTATACTTTATAGTCGGTTAAGATTCTGCATGAATTCTTTCCGGCAAGCTGAAATACAGACATCAACATCATCTATATGTCCATTTGTTAGTTTCACGACTTTTGAACAAGTCAATGTGATTAAACAATGACAATGTCTTTTTATCAATACGAATACATCATTAATTATGGAATGCAATTTTGAATTAATCAGATTTAAATACAACATCTATATATATGAACTGAGCTTCAAATTTGACAGGACACGAGTTTGATTTCTGGTACTTGCAGTCTCAAAAAAATTATTTACGAATAATTAAATACAGAAATTATTTCCAAGACCACTGATGATGGGTATTTGGTAATACTTGAAATAGCTGTATGGTCAGCCAAAAATTCAATTAATTAAAATAATATAAAAATGAATTTTTGTTGTTGTTCACTATTGTTCGAAAAACTTTTATAAGAATTATACATATATGTGGCATTCATCAATTGATTATGAATAGTTCTATATATCTTTAAAGAGTATCTAGGCTTTAAACAAATCAAATAAAATTTATTTTCTCATTTTCGTTTTGTTGTGGTTAAAAGTTACTAAAGTTGAAAAGATCAACATGAATTCCATTTTTCTTTATTAACTTAAAATGCTACCTGTTCCACTTAATATTTCTATTCACTATTTCGATTTTAGTACTTTGGTTTTGAATAAGATATACAAGAAGACATAAGAATTTAGTAACTTTTTCTGTCTTATTTAGCATTAAGCATTTTGGTGTTCCAACTTTCATTATCTCATTTTCTGTACTTTTTTCAATGCCTACTTATAATATTTTCTATAAAGTGAGAACTACCACAATTTCACTAGTTCATGGTACATAATACCATTCAGAGGTAGTTAAAGTCCTTTCGAAATATTTATTCACTACTTTAAAAAAAAATTTTTTCTTTCGCTATACTATTCCTCGATAAACAATTCCAACCATACCAATTATGATCTCATCGCAATAAAATATGTTAGTCAAAAGCAGCTATAGCATAATTTCTCTCTCTACTAGTTTTTCATTAAGTCTTATCGCTTCGTCAAGTCTTAT